TAAACATCTCTCCTGGTGTGGTGTCCTCCTAGTGGTTACATCACCCCTGGTGTGGTGTCCTCCTAGTGTTTACATCACTCCTGAGGTGGTGTCCTCCTAGTGTTTACATCACCCCTAGTGTAGTGTCCTCCTAGTGTTTACATCACTCCTGGTGTGGTGTCCTCTTAGTGGTTTCATCACAACTTGTGGGGTGTGCTCTTAGTGGTTACATCACTCCTGGTGTAGTGTCCTCCTAGTGGTTACATCACTCCTGGTGGGGTGTCCTCCTAGTGGTTACATCACTCCTGGTGGGGTGACCTCTTAGTGTAAACATCTCTCCTGGTGGGGTTGCCTCCTAGTGTAAACATCTCTACTGGTGTGTTTTCCTCCTAGTGTTTACATCACTCCTGGTGGGGTGTCCTCCTAGTGTTTACATCACTCCTGATGTGGTGTCCTCCTAGTGTTTACATCACTCCTGATGGGGTGTCCTCCTAGTGGTTACATCACTCCTGGTGGGGTGTCCTCCTAGTGGTTACAACACTCCTGGTGGGGTGTCCTCCTAGTGGTTACATCACTCCTGGTGGGGTGACCTCCTAGTGTAAACATCTCTCCTGGTGGGGTTGCCTCCTAGTGTAAACATCTCTCCTGGTGTGTTGTCCTCCTAGTGTTTACATCACTCCTGGTGGGGTGTCCTCCTAGTGGTTACATCACTCCTGGTGGGGTGTACTCCTAGTGTTTACATCACTCCTGGTTTGTTATACTCCTAGTGTAAACGTCACTCCTGTTGCGTTGTCCCCATAGTGTTTACATCACTCCCGGTCGGGTTCCTCTCAGTCTTATAGTCAGTCCCAGTAGAAGATATGCCACAATCGGGACTGACGACAGCTTTGGTAGGGATCCTGCAACCTCAAGCGACACCACCACTGGTAAGGACACCATACAATGCCAGACGGGATGTCACAACCATACACAACACCACCAATGTAGGAACGTTACTACAAGCACTGATAAAATCACAAGGAATGAAGACAACAGCAGGACGGACACCACCAACACCAAACATTGGAGATTCCACTGCCAGGATTGACTTTAGGCACTTCCGTTGACGTCGTACCCCCATCGGTTAGAGCGATAGTATAACCATTTGAGGTCAATGGTTCGAGTCCCGTTCCAGCCGCACTGAAATTTAACAATAAACAAACTGTCCTTGATTTGTTTTTTGTTTATTTGATCTCTTTCTCTTTCTCATAAAAGTCCCGAAACGTATGGCTTTCTTTTCAGAAACGATTTATCAAAGCTATAGTCATACCGGAAAAAACAATGTCCAACACTTACTTACAGTTTCGGCAGTAGTACCGGGATCCTTAAGCGCCCGTTTGAACAAAGCGAATACTTTAATAAGAAAAAGAAACGACTTTTTTCCGGAATATACACTGTCACCTTGCTTGGAGTCGGTATTTACATTAAAGACTTTTTTAAATATAGTTTTACTTGTTATACGTACATCAATATACAACAAATGAACATTTGAAACGAAAATGTTCACTGGCCGCCAGACTGGATCCAATTTGGTAGTCTTAAATGAAATGCTCCCGACGAACCGGTTCGTTTCGACAGATGTCACATGTAACAGATCAGCTGCTACGCATTGACATAATTAGAAACGTCGCACTAGATGGTACACACTGCTAGTCTGATACGGTAGAAAGTTATATGCCATTTCATACGTTATCCACTATCAGTCCGAGGACCCCATAACATGTACAAGGCAGGTGGATGCCGGGAGGGGGTTGGGAAATTTTAAAATGATAATATGATTTTTTTTTTTACTTTTTCTTCGACAGTTATAATTAAGAAATGTCATAATTATAAGCTTCAATGAGGACTAATTGATAAGAACATACCAAACTGCATAAATCTGATGTTGATTTCATTACAGGACATGGAAAGCAGCAAATATGCGAAACGGCACATGGCACAATCACAACAAATTCCCAGGGGACAGAGTACGCGAAACAGAAGATTAAGAAATATCTTAAGCATACAAAAATATATATTTCATCATTTACATATTAGCCCGAGGGACCGGAGGCCCGAGAGCAGATATGAGACGAGGGTTGAGATGGTTACGGCATGAAAATGGTCATATAATATCTTCTTAATACTATCTATTCGAGGTGGAAAACAAATAATGACAATAGCTATATAAATTAATGATAAAAGCAATATAAATGGCAATAGCTTTATATTTTAACATTAAACAGCATTTTATTTCGTGTTATGGTTCTATAACACCGCACAGGAATTGTTCTTGAAATGTCTTTTTAAATAAACGTTTCCTCGTGCTGTTTGAAAACTTCAACGATTTATTTATAGACGAATCGTTACCCTTTAATCTGTTAGACGCTCCAATTTCCATTGAGATACACCCTCAGAAGATAACATCGAGATCGATAAATTAAGTTAAATCTGAGCTGGATTATACTAAAGTTAATATTCCACACGGTGTTCCTTGTACTGTCCACAATGTAATACTAAATTAAGAATTTTTGAAAAACATTTACTATGATTAATATTTCAAAAAAAAAAATGAAAATTAATGACAAACTTAGACATTGGATACATCTAGTGATGTTCTGAGCTCGGCCCAGAGCTGTAGTCCTGGCATTCTGAAAATAATTTAAAACAATTGGACACCTGTTCCGTCATTTTTCTGCAGTCCTCTTTTGAATAAGGTGACTTTAAATAATGTAAGCTTTAATCATATAATCTGGAAAAATCGATATGGTTTATAGTTGACAATACTGCGATAGTTCTGGTGCACGGAGATCGCTACTTCATCGCACATTTGACCTCATAAACATAAATTAGGAAATTAGTGATCGATGTTATTTTGGCTAGTGATCAACATTGTCTAGCATTTCGACAATTTTAATAATTACACACATAAGATACTTAAATGTAACACGATGGTAAGAGTAACTGGAACCAGTAAAGCCTCGTTATACTGCCACCATTTGTCCAGGAAAGTTTGGCGATATAAAAGGGGTTTGGCGATACATTGAGGGAAACGTATAAATGATTTTTTACGAAGCTAGAAAAAAGGACATTTGAATATGTTGGCGTTAAAAGAGGTGACAAATGAAACAATGGGCGTTATATCGAGGTTTTACTGTCCATCAGATATAAGTGTGAATTCGAAAAATAGTTCCACTCAAGAGAAACTTTGCTTACTTTTAAACGGTTAAACAGGTCGAACCACAGTTGTTCGTTTTTAAAATAAAGTCGGACCTAGTAATATGATGCTGTTTTCAGGCGAGCCTTGACAATGCCTTGCAAGGCCTGCATACACAATGGGCATTATATCGAGGTTTTACTGTCCATCAGTTATAAGTATGAATTCGAAGAATAGTTCCACTCAAGAGAAACTTTGCTTACTTGGGCTGTTTTCGTTTAAACGGTTAAACAGGTCGAACCACAGTTGTTCGTTTTTAAAATAAAGTCGGACCGAGTAATATGATGCTGTTTTCAGGCGAGCCTTGGCAATGCCTTGCAAGGCCTGCATACAAAATTGCAGCTCCGCCAGGAATTTGTTTCATTTACAAACGGACAAACCGGTTGTTCCGCATAAACGAACACGCCCCTAGATTAATCTTCCCTCTATTTGGCACTAAGAGTAATCTCCCCTCGCAAGTTTAGAAGGATTTGCAGCCCATAAATTGGACACTTATTTATTATTCGTCTACTGGATGTCTAACCGAACTGCTTGGTAGTGGAGCGAACGTAAAACCAATTAATCAATCAATCAATCAATCAATCAAAAAAGATGCAATGCATTTATTCTGGCATGAAAACATTGATTAAGTGTTATCTGGCAATGTAAATATTCTAAGGTAAACCTTAACAGTTTGTTTCTATTTCAAAACATAAATTCCGAATTTCAAACAGCTTGCTGTAATTCTGTATTACGCATAGCAACAGGTGGTTTTTATGAAATACCTGTGTTGAAAGCGACTAAAGGATCAATGTTCCACAGCTCTGTGGTATTTTCCTGTATATAGCTACGTCCCCTTAACTTCCGTTTGAATATAACTGCAGAACAATTAGACTGCCACACTTCCGGTTAGCAGGCTAGGTAGGTCAGTGGAAAAGAGCGATATTATAACAATCTGAAGTGAAGGGTCCGAATCACGGTCTAGCCATAATTTTTTTTACATTGAAAACCTAATTGTTGATATTTGTTTCTTTAATCTTCATTATTTATCATAAAAGCCCCGTAATGCATTTTTTGTTTTTAATAAATGATTCATCAACGTTATAGGCATGCCGGGAAAAACAGTCTTCAATCATTCGTTACAGTTTTTGGTAACGGTACGGGAAACCTTAAAAAATATTTCACAATAGCATCAATAAAATTTAAAATGTAACTTGATTCCTTACGCCTTGAAATGTAATTCGTGTTTTTTTTTTATTGCAATCCTGTTCATATATTTTAATAGAATATAGAACTTAACAGAACGTACAAATGTAGTTTCAGGTAAACAGTCTTTAAATCTCTATACTTCATATGTTTAACTTATTTCATTTGCTGATTGATTCAACTAGTTTGATTATATGAACACATTTCTGTTGAAAACAGAGGGTTTTTTTGTGGTAGTGAACTTGATGTCAATTGCAGGTACGTCACACTGTACAATATCGAAATAGTTCAATTAGCAGTTCACTTATTCGTCCCGATCGTGCGATCGACTGTGAAGCATATGGTGTCTTTCTTTTTATCACACATTACCACCTGATCGTCAGGTGCTCTACATTGTGGTTCACCACAGCGCTTGTAACTAACGATGGCGTTAATGGAGAGATCACGGCGCTATACATTGTGACGCGTATGCATCCGCTCTTCGGTGATGTGTGAAACACACGCCTGTATACATTCATATGAGCATGCGCAGTATTGGTTTGTGCGACATATATATATATATATATATATATATTATATATCACATATTTAAACGATCTTCTTAAGCCTTGCAGTTCAGTAGCCTTGTAGAGACCATTTACTGCCATTGCGCTGGAACCCTCCGCATCGTAACGTAGTGTTGTCAGGCTAAGCAATGTATGAACAATTTTGCTGAGACGTGGATTAAGTACTGAAGATTTTCACGGGAATTTTACTAACTCTAATTAAGTAAGTATTCGATTTTAGTGTACTTTTACAAAATTTTCAACATATAAGACTAATTTGAAAAAAAATGTGATGTTTTTCTTACTGTGTCTCTTCACACTTGGTAAAAGTTTCATAGATTCTCATAGACCTTAGAGACATACACTGCGTATTATGTATTTCTAATTATTTGAAAAGATAGCTTTTTCAGATCTTGATAAACGAAAACATGTTTGAATTCCTAAACTGTAATGCGTGTTTCGTGTCGAAAAACCCCAAATAGTATTGACGTCAAATGTCAGACAAATAACTGAGTCATTATGTTTTAATAAAGATAATATTTATTATACTATTTTAGATAAGAAATGCTTTACGTTTAAGAAGAGATTTGCAATACTGTTTCCTAAAAAATGTTTTAGTCAAAATATTTTTTGATACCGTTTAACAATGGAGAGTAGATGAGTAATATTAAGCTTAATATCAGAGAAAAATATAAATACTGATTCAGATAAGAGAGCAAAATATTATCTTTTTGAGTGGACTAGAGAGAATATAGTTTGAATTGATGGGAACTTAAGTTATTAAAGAGGAATAAGTAATATTGTTTGAAGATTATCGACAAAGTTAGTATTGGTGTTTTTTTTAGATTACCGACAAGATTAGTGATACTGTTTTAGATAATCGACAAGATTAGGAATAATGATTAAGATTATAGACAAGTGTATCGACAAGCGTTAGTAAAATCACGGAATTAGATGTTATCTAAGTCAGTGGTAAAACTGTGTAACATTTTCGAGATGATCAGTAGTACTGTTTTAGAATATCGATAAGATTTGGAATACTGCTTTAGATAATAGACAGCATTATTATTACTGTTTTAGTTTATCGAGGGAATAAGTGATACTATTTTATTTATCGACAAGATTAGTAATATTGTTTAAGATTATCGACAAGATTAGTAATCATGTTTTAGATTATCGACAAGATTAGTAATAATGTTTTAGATTATCGACAAGATTAGTAATAATGTTTAAGATTATCGACAAGATTAGTAATAATGTTTTAAATTAAAGACAGGTCTAGCAACACTGGTTTTTGTTATCGACAAGCACAAGCTTAGTAATAATGTTTTAGACTATCGACAAGATTAGTAATACTGTTTTAAATTATAGACAAGTCTAGCAACACTGGTTTTTATTATCGACAAGGATAAGATTAGTAATAATGTTAAGATTATCGACAAGATTAGTAATACTGTTAAAGATTATCGATAAGATTAGTATTTCATTTTCAGATTATCAACAAGATTAGTGTCACAGTTTTAGATTATCGACAAGATCGGTAACACTATTTCAGATTATCGAGAGAATTAGTAAAACGGTTTTAATGTAAAGAGAGGTTTGGTGACACTGTTAATTCTTATTATACCGTCACGGAGCTACTTTAACTGTTATAAATCTATAGTTAAAATGTGATAGAGCGGAAATAAAATTAGTAATTATGATATGAGTAAAGAAAAAAACCATTAAAACTGTTTGAGATAATGAAGCAGATAAGTTAATGAAGAAGAAGTAACGGTATCTTAGCTTGGGTAGTACATTAGTAATAGCATGTACTTGTTCGTGGTATAGGTTCTTTTGCATGTGTGATACTGCTAGCCGTGCACATGCCATGACAAGGATCGACTCACATCCGCCTGGCACGCGCTCAATCTGCCTAGCACGTGCCATATTCATATTCGTCTTAATCCGCTTCAACGCATTCCAGAAAAATCACGCCTCAAAACAGTGTACATGTAACACTCGACTTAAGTTATCGACCAATGATACTGATTGATAATATTGTTTTAATTAGACGAAAGATTAGAAGTTTAATAGTCAAATAAAGATAAGAAATACTGAAATACTGCTTCAGTCTAAATAGAAGACCAGTAGTATTCTTTTTAGATTCGAGAAAATATTTTAATAGATTATAGTATATACTTTCTGTTATCATATGATAATAGATAAAAAAATATATTTAGATTTGAGTAAAGATAAGTGTTTTTTTTTTATTGTTTTATTATTTAAAAGGAAAAGTATCCATGTTGTTTCATGTTAACGATAAGTTCCGGATTTCTGACCCACTATGCTCTCGAACCCTGGACCTCACGGTGTATGCCGTCACTCTAACCAATCTAATTAACTATCTTGTTATCGTGGGTATAATGTAGTTTACTATGTTTAACACATGTATGGTATGACGCCTATACGCTTTACTGCTTTTTGTATAAGCTGAATTGAAATAGAAAAAGAAATGAAATTGAAGCTTCCTGATCAACGGATGAACTTTGTCCCAGTAACGGTATAAAGTCGCGTCTGAAACGAAAGGGAGGCCACGGTAACATAACGATCGCCCCGTTCTGCGATACAAGCTTGAGCTATGCTATGTGGAAAGTGATCGAAAGATGAACTTGAGATATTCGTGTATATGTTTGTGTATACATCTACAAATTGTGTCGAACCTCCACTCGCGATATGTGTATATATGATTATTAAATGGTTCGAAATCTGTTATTTGTATATATGTTAACCTTTATTTGAAACATGTACCGAGCTATATCTAAATTTTGTCAGGTTCCATATTTGCGATATACACATTGTGTCGAAATATGTAACTTGTCTCGAAACCTAAATTCGAGATATAAATACTCAAGATATAGTTGACTTCTAGCTATTAAATGTCTCACAGATTTACTTATTCATATACATTCCCCGGCAGATTTCCAGCAAACAGAAAATAGCTGAGTGTGAACGTTTAGGTTTCAAAAAATTTTCAATTTACATCTGTAGCACATTTCAAATTAGGTTTATTCGTAGTAAAAACAATGAAATTGTATTTCTGACGAAATTACTTTGTTCGCCCTTTGTAACGCTCGTATTCGATCAATACACTATCATCATTGGTTGGAGCCCCGCTGTTATGTACGCGGAGGACTACATGATATGGTTTCGTTAATTATTATGCATACGTGTTGACAATTATCGAACGATCAAAACTAGATTAATGAAACTAAAGTTTGAAATAAATTAAAAAGAATATTATCAGAAAACAGCCATTCAATAATTAAAAAACAATACTGGTTTTTCTTAGAACATTTGAAGCTCTAAAATGCAATTTTTACCGTTTCATCAGAAACATTTCCATACCTTCACAAGATAAAAATCGTCCTCATCAGTACAATTCACCATTTTGATATATGCATTTTTTAGTTAATTTGTCTCCAATATAATTGTCAACATGTCCACAGACCCGATGTTTACGAGTCTCTAATTACTTTGTTAACTTATTTCCAATATCTTAGTAAAATGGCTCCAATTTCTTGCTAGCTCGTCGCCAATCCCGTTGCTAAACTACCTCGAATCCCGTTGTTTACCTCCCTCTGATGCCGTTGTTTACGTATCTCAAAACCCGTTGTTTACATGTCTCAAATACCTTTTTTTTAAGTTGACTAAAATCTCGTTACTTATATGCCTCAGATCCCGTTGTTTATATATTTCTCTAATCATGTTGTTTACCAATACTGTTGTTTTCGTGACAGCAATCCTGTTGTTTACGTGACTCCGATCCTGTTGTTTACGTAACACCAATCCCTGTTGTTCACGTGACATCAATCCTGTTGTTTACGTGACACCAATCGCTATTCACTAAAGATATCGAAATGTAACAGATATGTCAGAATTTACTTTTCTAATTGACTAATGTTTTACACATGAACTTCAGTATTTTCAAATACCGATGAAGTATTCTTATTTCAAAATCTTAAATAGTGACACTAACATTATTAAGGACTCTTGGCTTGGTCAGTTATATTGTTATATTTGATAGACCTGACAACATGATGTCAACCTCGTACTTTTTTACTCGGTCTTTTTTAACCAATCGTGTTAATACAACATTGTGTCAACCTCATCAAAATCAATTATTTGATATTGTGATTGTGATATGATGACTACTGTATCTTAGTACCTATCACAGTTACTGTATATTCAGACATCATTCGGTGCTAACTTCTGTATTACGTACGGTGCATATCGAAATTTACGACGTGAAGCTAATAATTTGCTTAAAAAAGCAATGATGTCATTTGTAGGTGACATTCCCGACAGTGCAGGCAGGTCGTTCTCATCTGGAGTCCGGTCAAGATAAAATTGGACCTTCTTCCGTCGTCTGTAGAACCGATTTCATGCCGGGTCCCGCACGTGTAATTAATATGTATGTAAAAACGGAACTCTGTCTAATGTACTACCGTCCACAATATAGTGGTCATCATTAATCTCTGCTGGACTGGCCGGAATCGATACTCTTGATCATTCGGTAGACAGTGAAACAGTTACAGGACAAAGGCCGAACGAATTGGATGCGACACAATTAAAATATATGAGATACGTATACATGTACGGCTTTTAATTGGACAAATCGCATAGCTCCATATCCAGTAAAAGTGAAATGGTGTTCTCTTCTGATACACGAATCCACGGCTGCCTCTGCACGTGTTCTTCATTAGATAGAAGACACTAGCTCTCCCTACACGTGTGTAATATGGCTTCCGGAATGTCTTTAGGATCCCTGGCCCACTGCACTGTGTTTTTTTTTTTCCAATTTGCAGTAACCTCCCCTTAACTTCCTTTTGGATATAAGTATATGACAATTAGACGGGAACACGTCTGTCAACCAGGTAGCTTAATCGGTTAAAGATATAGCTCAGCAATTTGAAGTTCAGGGTGCGAATCCTTGTCCAGCCCCGCGATGCATACAATGTTGTTTACATTTTGTTGATTTAGTCATTACTTTTCCCATAAAAGTCCCGCATTTTTTTCTTTTTTCTTTTTAGAAATGAATTATCAAAGCTATAACCATGTCGGGTAAAACAGCTTTAAATAAGTAACGGTTTTTGGCAGTAGTACGGGGATCCTTAAGTTATACAAGTTCTAGCTATTGGAGCATCGGCAAATCTGGCTATATAGACTATATATGACTGTATGTATATGTTGATAGGACGAGTGTAAACAAACGAGACACGTTGTTGCAATTGTCTTTTGCACATACATGTAACACAATGCCGGGTCAAACAGACGAATCCGTGAAATTTGAGTTTTTTTGCCTAATTGCTTAATTATTTATTGTCTTTGTCATTGCGTCTCCGAATATAAGCGTTGCGGTGACGCAGACTTAATTATACACTACACACTTGTAAGGTATTCACTAGACACTACTATTAAAGTCAACACACACTTGTAGCGTATTTACTTTACACTTGTAAGATATTCATTACACACTTGAAAGATATATGTAGTCACTACACAGTCGTAAGATATTTACTACACACTTGTAAGGTATTCACTACACAGTTGTAAGATAGTCACTACACACTCGTAAGATATTATTAACACACTTGTAAAGTATACACTGCATACAGTGGCGGATCCAGAGACCTATCTGGGGGGTTTCCAAATTTCCTGGGCGGGTTTCCAAGGGGGGAAAAATTGAGGAAAATGGTGAAAATACATGATTTTTAAAGAAAATTCTCAGGGTGCCG